AGACGCATTGGCCCTACTAATATATTCGTTCGTGTGAAATTTCAATACCATAGCTTTAATAGTTTCTGAAATATAGTCAAATAACTTTTGAAGTTGTATGGCAGGTACCAGAAGGAGCCAAGTAATTTCAACGACTTTTATAGGACACATTGGCCCTACTAATATATTCGTTTTTGTGAAATTTCAATACCATAGCTTTAATAGTTTCTGAAAGATAGTCAAATAACTTTTGAAGTTGTATGGCAGGTACCAGAAGGAGCCAAGTGATTTCAACGACTTTTATGAGTCACATTGGCCCTATTAATATATTCGTTTGTGTGAAATTTCAATACCACAACTTTTATAGTTTCTGAGATATAGCCAAATAAATTTTGAAGTTGTATGGCAGCTACCCGAACCGGTACCCCGATCACGTCCAATTTAAATAGGGTTCTGGCACTTACTACAATAAATCATTTGTGAAAATTTGGTGAACTTAGCTCAATTAGTTTTTGAGTTATCGTTCGGACGGACGGACGGACGGACGGACGGACGGACGGACGGACGGACGGACGGACAGACAAAGCTAAATCAACTCAGAATTTGACGCTGATCAAAAACATACACTTGAGTCTATATCTAACACCGTTATTTCTTAGCGTTACAAACGGTAAGGCAAATTTAGTATACCCTTCGAACATACGTTCGTACGGGTATAAAAATAATATTTGATTGTATTTTAGATATTATTTTTTAATTCCCTCTTCAAATTTTTTCTTTACTATGCATTTATATCAATATTCAATTGTTATCTTCCATTAATTATATTTTCAACTTGACACCACAGTTACTTCCCATATCTTAAGTTAACTTACCCTATGAGAAAAAAAAGCTGCATAAAAATAATGAAATGCTTTCAGTAACATATAAAACGTTGAAGGCGAAGGTTGTGCTTGTTGTTTTTCCGCTGTTTTAAGAATTTTAAAATAATTATGAATGAAAACATTAATATATTTTTTTGATTTTTCAAATATATTTTCTAAATTTTACCTGCTTATAATAACTTATTATAATAAGTGTGAATTTATTTTAATATTTCATCTCAAAAAATAGTCACTTCGATTTAAAAAAACCCATATAAAATAAGGTTGTGCTTTCATTGGGCAAAAAAATTGAGCATTGGGACTTGTTAGATATAAATACATTAGTTTTTGTAATGTCTTTATATCTATTATTAATTTTTGGCTTCGTTGCTGGTTTTTTCTTTAAATGCCACTGATCGTGTCATATGTTTTATTATTTTTTTCTTTTTTCTAAGTAAAAAAGAGTTTAATATTTTAAAAAATCTCAGGATATTATACATATTTTTTAAAAAGCTTCCCATTTAAATTCTATTGCACGAAAAAGAAAGAAAGGTAGGAGGAAAGAAAAAATGAAAAAAAAATTCAAATTCATATTTCAGTATGGTTTCAAATGTTAATGAGGAAGGATGTATAATTTTTCATGCACATTTTGTATTTCCCAATAAGGTAAGTTGAGTAGTGTGGGTTAACAAAAAAGTTATTAAAAGTAATATAGGTTGACACATTTCAACAATTTGAATTATCTCATTTCGGTTATTTATACGTTACTTATAAAATTGTTTCAAATAATTTCAGTTAGTTTTTAAGCTATGAAAAATAAATATGCATGTACCTACTTCCAATAAATTCTTTTTTAAATAATTATTTTAAAACTATTTAAAACATGTTATATTGAGTGCTTCAAAAATATTGAGTTCTCTTTTTTCATATTTTATTAGCAGGTAAACAAGAGCAATCTATTTATAAAATGTCCTGCATGTGTATGTATGACCTATCTTAATTCTAAACGGAAAGAATATTACATAAAGAACAAAAATTTTAAAATACCTGTTACTTTACAGTCGGAATTTTTGAGTCATTTGGTAAAATACCATTTATTTCAAAAATAAAAAAATATTCAAATCCGGTCATAAAAATATATGATTGTTTTTTCCAAACATTTTAAATATTTTTTTTTTCTTAGGTAATTGATATAAATGATAGTAAGTTTTTAATATTTTTTTCAAATAAAAATAGAGGTAAAATTTTGAAGTTTATATAAAATTTGTATTTAACAAATAATATTTGATTGTATTTTAGATATTATTTTCTAATTCCCTCTTCAAATTTTTTCTTTACTATGTATTTGTATCAATATTTAAGAATTATCTTTCATTAATTATATTTTCAACTTGACACCAAAGTTACTCCCCATATCTTGAGTTAACTTACCCTATGAGAAAAAAAAGCTGTTCACTTAAAATAATGAAATGCTTTCAGTAACATATAAAACGTTGAAGGCGAAGGATGTGCTTGTTGTTTTTCCGCTTTTTTTTAAATTTTAAAATAATTATCAATGAAAATATTAATATATTTTTTTTATTTTTCAAATATATTTTCTAAATTTTACCTGCTTTATAATAAGTGTGAATTTATTTTAATATTTCTTCTCAAAAAATAGCCACTTCGATTTAAAAAAAACCCATATCAAATAAGGTCGTGCTTTCAAGTTTCTCTCTGAGCATTGGGACTTGTTAGATATAAAGACATTAGTTTTTGAGTAAAACCAAACAAAAAAAGCTTTTCTGAATGTTACTTTATTTCATATGCGTTATATGATTAATGCACGAATTATATTTCTTTAAATGATTAAAAAAACAATAATATTATGAGTAAATTGTGCATAAAAGAATGTTATCGCCTCTGCGCTGCGTAACAGGCTTATTAAACTTATGAAAAAATAAACGTAACAAAAAAATAAAAACGTTCTGCAACAAATTGGCATACAATTTATAATATAATATACATACCAAAAATGTTGGGAAAATTCAGAATTATTTTTTTTTGTTCTTTTCGTTTTCTTTTCCTATGTTATTCTTCCGAAGATAAAGAATGTAAGCGAAAATACGCCATGGTTGCGCCATCGGATTTGGCTTGTAGAATATAATAATATAGATTAGGTATTTTCGAATAAATTAGAAATGTTTATTATATACAAAATATATACAGAAACGATTACATATAAAATATATACAGAATTTATTTTGTCTCATTTAAATAATAACAAAATTAAATTTCATGTTCTTACAAACTAGAATAATAAATTACAGGTAATAAAACATTTTTTAGGTAACATAGAACACAAACAGTAAATGCATAAAATAATTGTTTTTAAAAAAAATTTAAATTGACTTTTGTTAGTATCTACATAACATATTTATATAAAAAAATTAAATTTTTATTCGATGTTTCTTAACGCTAGTAATATTTGATGAGAAAATCTATAAATTTTATCCTATACCTATGTATTCACCTAAATTACACAAAATTATTCAATTTTCTTTTATTAGTAATTTAAGATGAAATTACTTACTTATTAAAATTGTTAAAATCTCAAAATTAGTAACTAAATGGTTAAATTATATTTGCCACGGGAAACAGAATAAAATTTAAAGCTCTTACAAATAAAAATACTTCGTTGGTGTCGTGTTGATGTCTCTTTCCTAATGTTTGTATCTATTTATCCCTCTATTTATCCCTGATGATCTCGTTCTTTGGCAAAGTAAATGTAAATATAGCATTTACATTCTCCTTTTCTCGTAGACTATTGCTTCTGCATCCTTCCATGTAACACCCTCGGGGCATTTATATGACACACTCAACACATATTTATATGAACGTAATAAAATATATTATTATATTTTATTTATATATGATTACAATAGAAACTTTAAAAAGTACACCGAATCTTACTAATTTATTAAGTTATTTCGTCTTTTTAGATAAACTTTAGTACTATTTTTTCAAATTCACCTTTTTTTTTCTAGATATTATGGACAAAAGACAAAATTTAGCTAATATAAGTTATAAATCTTCATTTTATTTAATAACATAAAAAATTAATATAATTATTCATTAAATTTAAATTGAAAATAAATTTTAAATAGCAAATAAATTATTTTACCGCTCAACGATACAGCCTCCCCGTACGAAGTTTATAACGTATTTGGACTAAGAAAATTTTTTGTAAAACTTTAGTCTGTCTATAGACACAAATATAAAAACATTAGGATAGCTTGTACACTATAGCAACTCATGGCTCAATAAATTATATATGTCTCTTTGATCTTTTGGAATATACATATAAATGACATTAATATATATATATATATATATATATATATATATATGATATGTGATATACATAAAAATCTACATGTAAATTATTGATTAAATATCTTTTCGGTTTAAATATTTTGTTTATTTCTGGGAACATGTTAGAGTTCTTTGTGGAGATTTTGGTAAGCCTATTTTGCCAATATTTATCAACTTCATTTCTTAATTGTTTCTTTATTAAAATATTTATATTATTCAACAGGCTTTTCAATAGTTGAATTTGTTGCGACGAAAAATTCAACTATTGTACAGCCTTTCAGCAGATATGCTGCCAGATTTCATCAGATATGGTTTAATATAAAAATTGTTAGGTTTAGTCAAAAAAGAAAAAAATATTATTCAGAAACGTCATTTTGCTATTAATACATTCGCTATTTTAACACATTCATTCAAAAAAAGAAGAGTTCAGGCCTTGATATTTTTGTTGTGTCAAGGTTATGTGTAATGACTAGCGAACGGGTTTTTAGGTGCTAAAAAACTGCTTTTAGGCACCTAAATAGGTCGCTTTAAACTGGAAAAAAGTCGCTTAAAGAGGTTCTAACAAACTTTAAAAATTATACCAAAAAAATTAAGGTATCACATTTATTTCAATAAATTTATAAAATTGAACATAAAACAATAAAATTCAACTGAAAAAAACCAAATAAATTAACTAAGGATACAATATAACAAAGTTTATCTCAAAAATAATAAACAAAACCTAGAATTCAGGCTTATAAAAACCCAAAAGTATCACGAATCAAAAATATAAATTAAAATTAAAAAAAAATTGTGCAACCAAAATAAAGCATCAGTTTTATTGTACAATTTGATTAAATATCAAATTAAATTTTCTGACATAATTTAAAATTGCAGTTTATAATGAAAATGATTACGCAAATTTTCAAACGTAAAATGTTGTTGGTTATCAGTTGAAGTCACTGGCACAAATTTAAATGTCTTGATTTCAGCATTTTTGTATAAATTTTGAGGAGATGCTGTGTTCCAAGCGATAACGTTTGTAACATTTTTTAAAATATTGAAATCACTAGTTTTTTTAGGAATATTGGCGATTTTAACTTTAACTGAGACTGCATGTGACCCAATTACGTTATTTATTTTTGCAAAAGCATCTTCAATAATCTCTATATGAGCATGAAGAGATAACCCAGAAGACTCCAAGCGAGTGATTGAATTGCGAAGAAAACTGAAATTGGCACATAAAAATATAAAATCACTTTTTAATTTATTTTTAAAACCTAAATTTGAAAACATGCATAGAATCTTCTTCTGGTAAGTTGAACAACACATTTTCAATTATTTCAAAATTGTGGGCATAATATATTATTAACTATTATAACACGGTGGGATCTGACCATGTCCCCCACCGTGCTATAGGTTAAGGTAGAAGTGATAAATTGGGTTTAATTTCTTTCAGAATTTATATACACCAGCACCCATGCCGCGATCGCCTTTAGAGCCATTTGTGTACCACACGGAAGCCTTAGCCGGCAAGGAGGCTATAATTGACTCGACGGATTCCCCTTCAGGTATTATTACCTGCAGGTTCCTCTCGCATTTAACCGTCTTGATTAGGAAGTCCGACGCCTCCGAAACTCTTCACCCAATCCAACTTTTTGTAGAATGGAGTTGCGTCCTGCCGAGCCACGTCCTATATATTCTGAGAGCTTCAGTCTTGTAGCCCTGACCACCGCAACGCCATCAACACGAAGATGCAAGGGAAGAAGTCCCAGCATCCTTTCAAGCGCTGTCATCGGCGAGGTCCTCAGGGCACCAGTGGGACCCAGACAAACTAACTTTTGTACTCTGTTAAGAATAATTTGGGCCCCCCTCATACAAAGACAACATACGTTACCGTTGGCCGTACCAAAGTCTTGTACCGCCACACCACACCAGTTAGAGGCTAAGGCCCCAGGTCCTCCAGAATAAGGATCTACAGTTGAGTGCGCTTCGACACTGTAGTCTCGAATTTGCCCTGGACCAAAACTAGGTCGTGAACATAGCTAATGCATCCGAATCCTGATTGCTCCAATCTCAGAAGTAACTGGTCCATAACTAGAAACCTCGAAAGTGATGAAAAAGCCCCACTCTGTGCGCAGCCCCTAGTGGCTGCGACCATCAAGGAGTTAGTATCAATTACCGCCTCGATTCTTCTACCCCTGTGCATGTTAGTAGTCCATTCAATAGTAGAGCACCTCCATCATTTGCCCCTCGACGTCATTGCTTGCTTAAAAGCACCCGAAATATTTATGAAAGTACCCGCTAGTATCTCTTTATTTTGCAGCGTATTTTCAACTTCATGAAGAGCGGTTTTCGGGCCTAGTAGGCATGTTGGCCGGGATGTATTGGATGTGTTAATTTCCCAGTCTACCCTCTCTTCGCAGATATCACATTGTAACCGCACGCAGGAACCGCTTGATATAATGGTTCCTGCGTACCCGCCCAATCACGATCGGCTAGAGACCTGAAGCCAGAAAGGTGTGTAATCGTGAAGCCACTATCTGGCCTTTTAATGAAACCCAATAGATTCCTGTGATCCATCGACATAACTCTCTGCAATCTATATGCAGCTGGGAGCTCCTCGATGCTTCCACAGAGATTTCGCCAGCTCAATCTCTTGCTTCAACGTAATGTTTTTTCGTAATTTTTTGAGGCCATCCTTTAGGGCTCCCAGTCCGCTGTGTTTTTGGTTTTGTTGAACAGGCTCCTTGATGTTCTTCTGAGCTTCTTGAGCTCAGAATTGCACCAAGGCACATCCCTTTTGTTGTTGACCCTTGTCAACGTTGAGCTGCAACGTTGTTGTTGATTTCTGTTGCCGCCGCTTTTAGATCTCCCACTGTTAGGTCCGGAAACCGGTTAAAAAGTCTCTCGTTAAAAAGAGACCAGTTCGTGTTTCTAGGTTTCCTGATATAGGATTTCGTGAGGGAAGGCTCCCTTAAAACATGCCAGCCGGAGACAATGTCTTATCCCCGCCCTTAACAAGGTGAGATCCAGTACCTCCCGTCGAATGGCATTTATGACAGTGGGTTGGCAACCCACATTTGCTTCTCGGGCGTTTTTGTTGGAGCTTCCCCAAGCTACGTGATGGGTGTCGACGTCGCATCTGGTTATAAAGTTCAGCATCAACACCATGCGGGGGACATCAAGTGTCCTCAGCAAAATGGGCCGGAAGACGATGTTGCCGAATAGCCAGTTCACCCTAAATTTTTGTGGCTTCAGAAGCTCCAAAGTTTTTAAGCCAACGGAGATGATGACCTGGAGAAAATTTTTCACTTTGTCTATCCGAGAAAGGATTCTTAGATCACAATCTCGAAGTTCTCGATTCTTGATTTTGAGCTGCTAACGCTCATGTTGTTACCGTCCTTTATATCCTGCGGGGGTAAGCAAAAAATATTACAGGACAATGTTACCAAGGCCATTGGATATCTCAGCGTCCACGCAACTATCGCTGAGCCATCCGTCCCTTTTCTGACTACCCAGAAAAGAGGAGCAAATACCATCCAACGGGAGGTTCAAGGCTAGAGTCATGATTGAACGCTGCATCTGTTGAAGCTGGACCTCGGTCAATTTCTTTTGAGGATATTGTTCCTCAGTTATGGCTAAATACATGGCCTTAACAATATCCGTAAAAGATTGGAGCCGGTTTTCGACGGCTGTGACAGCATGGGAACAATGTTTCCACTTTTCCTATCCCTTTTTGAGGGGTTGTTTTTTGGGAAGCTGTCATCCGACCTGTTCCGTTTAGACTTATATTTTGGAGCCTTTTGAGCTCTGTCGCCAATCGTTAATTTAGCCAGTTCGAGGCCTTGTTGCGAGACAGCCCCGTACGAAGAAGCTTTCTGAGACGCCTCTTCACTGCGCCAGTTAGGGACTTCTGGACACGGAGATCACAAAGTCAATCTCGAAGCTCTGCAGTTGTTGAGACAGATTTTGTACATTTTCACTCTGTCCAATAGAAAGTGCAGTTAGGTCTAAGTTTTCCGAGTCGGAAGAGTTTGGTTTGCTTTCAGAAACGGACAAAAGCTCGTTCTGCTTTTTGTAAGCACGAAGTGTGTTTAGGCCTGAAGGCCGTGTAATAGGAGAAACCGAAGGTTGGCCCTTATTAGATAATGTCTTAGAGCCTGAAGGCTCTAGAGTTTGAGAACCCGAAGGTTGCTCGTTGTTTAGTTCTGGTGCATCCAAAAGAGCACCTCCCTTAAGATTTTAATTTTTTTTATCCATATATAGTAGGCAGAGCCTCATACCGTGGGAAGACATTTACTTAAACCGGAAGTCGCCCGGTATCAGGAGTTCTGTTCGATCAAGTATTGACTCCCTTGGATATCCAGTCCTCGGCGCACTTATCCCGTCTTGGCTTGGAGTTGGAACCTACTAGAGATTGACTGGAGCCATTACTCTATGCGTTGGGACTTATTAGAGATTGGCTATTGTCGATACTCTATGCCCTTGGGAAGTCGACACTCTATGCCTTGCTCTTTTAGACCGCAATCAGTCCTTATTGAGCCCCTTCACCATGGCAAGGTGGATTCCCGACGGAGGAGAACATTATAGTTAATTAATGTAATTATTTTCCCATATATAACTTTCTCACAATATTTTAGTAGGACTTAATTTACATACATTTTGTTTGATAATTTTACTTTAAGTAAATTTGAAACACATATTATGATACACAAATTGACATGGGAAAATTAAGAATTTAATTAATGCATAAATTGTCAATAAGGTAGCATATTGGAAAGATATCATTAGAATTAGAAGGTAAAACTACCGCAAATTAACGTATCAATGTTCAACGACCAGTATGGCTCATGGACCAGCTTTTTTAACGTATTGAATTCGCTAATATTAGCTAATTGGATAACGTTCAAAAATTTCATTATCTCAAAAGTCTACTGTCGGCAGAGCCAATGAACTTAATAAAACATCTGTTAATAACTAACGAAAATTACGTTACTGTATGGGAATTAACAAACAGCCAGGTACAACACAAGAATACTGTTCTCAGCATATATGAATAAGTTACTATCTCTATCTCATTTAAATAAAGAAACATATTACAGTTCCTAGGAACAAGGTTTCAGGTATTAGAAACTTTGGGGGGCTTGACAATAAAAACAAAACATGAAGAGCGAAGCAACCAAATGTATCACAGCGTGATGAAGGTAAAAGAATGTCCAATTTGTAAAAAGTGGCGGAAAATATCAAAACATCAAAGACATGAGTATTACTCGAAAATTGGCAGCAGTAGGAAGGCACAACTTATGCTTAAACTGTCTCAGCAGCAATCATGTGAGAAACAAGTGCATTTCAAAGAACATTTGCATGAAATGCAACAAAAATCATTACAGCTTGCTACATGATGAATGCAGAATAAAAACACATAATGCACCTAGTAATTCGGGCGGGCAATCATATAACTGCGTTATACCAAAAAATGCAACTGTTTTATTACCTACAGGAATGTATGATATAATTCTATCATTGTATGATAAATATCATTTGTGAAATATTGCTTAGTGGAAAAATAAAAGGACAATCATACTATCCAATAGCTCAGCAAACAGTCTTTGGATGAATTGCAGCTGGTCCTGAAGCAGTTAAAACCCTTAAGAACAGCTTAATATGAATGATATGGCGAAAGAAGATGAAAAAATGAAGCATTTTGTGAAGCAACTACTCAGCGTAGTAACGAAGGGAGATATATTGCCAGAATCCAGAGAAGACTATAAAGCCGCATTGCTTAATAACGACAGTAAAAAGAAAGCAATCGCACGCCTAATTAATATGGAATAAAGTTTGTATTGTAGAACTTTTCGCTTCAGCAAGTGAAAATACTGCTTTTAAGAACAGTCTATGTATATCCACCACACTATTAAAATTATTTTCATTCATAAACAAAACTATTTCTAGGATTGCATATATTTAGGATGAACGATTTATGCAGTCTTTGAAATGGAGCAAAAAATTAACATGAAGAGGGGTTAACATAATGTTCGATTTTAAGGGTTAATGGTGTGAGTAAAGAAAAATAATTATATTTTTTAATGTCATGGAATTTACCGTTAGGTTTGGAAAATATAAGGCGGCTTCGGAAATATAAAGTGTCAAAAATTCAAATTTTACAAATTTCAGGAGGCGATAACTTGAGAGGCGGTGGAGATGGAAAAAAATTTTCTTCAAACG